TTACTCCAAAGTTGATGCTCTATCTCCACCTATTGCCTATCCCATTATTGAAATGAATGCTTCTAACCATCTACAACCCACAAGGAGGTGGGGGATGCTGCCAAAAACAACAGATGGCCATCGGTTTGGTTTAGTACTCCCTCAGCTATGGCCAAAAAATCTCTCAAGTTGTTACAACCAAATTACAAACAGAAATATGAGGAGTCACAGGGCAATGTTGGATTCTGGGCTTTTTCCCCCTTTCCAGCTGTGTTGTCTAAAGTAAAAGGCTCTATTCCTAAGTATTTATTATAGCCAAGGCAAAGGTGCAAGCTGGGGGAAATTAGCCGCAGTTTCAAGTTCAATTAGCCAATCCCCCCCCCACCACCACCTAAAAGCAAGAACATGCAGAGTTACAGTGAGGACATTACTTAGAACGTTGGTGGCAGAGTGGGCACTCTCAAACTTTAGAAAGGTATTATTCTTGGAGGCCACTCTGGAAATGCATCATGCGACCATTTTAATCCCTCAACATATGATGTCATTTCTCTAAAACAAGGTTCTTTAGAATTGTTGAAATCATTCAACTTTAGCTACTCTTCTGCGTAGGATGTCTTCCTGCCTTTGACCTTATGGAATCAAATTTAAAAGAAACAAACCAAGAATAAACAAAAACGCAAACCTGATGGAAAGTTATCATAGGTCTGCTTTGGATTCTATTCTTAGTCTGTGGCTAACTCCCTTCTCTGGGTCTTCAGTTTCTTCACCAGTTTGGAAATCAGACTACATGATCTCTGAAGTCTCATCCAGCTCAATAATCCTGTTACAAGACTTTAACTAGACATCCAGGCCAATTTACTTTGTGCCATTTTAGTTTACAGAGGGAAGTTGACTGTCATGACTGTGCCCTAATAATCTGCTTGAGTACAAGGCATACATACTCATTACCTTCTGGTGGGGGGACAAACAATGCCTACTGAAGGACAACATGCACTACTACCTTCTACTGTGGTCCCTGATACCTATGGCATCTAGATAGAGCCCTGTAACGTCAAATGCATCAGTAAGTGGTACTCCGGCATGCTTTTTAAAATTCTGCAGCAAAAATTCAAGATCTAAAAAAATGGGAAGAAAACCCATGTTCATGGATTGGAAGACTTAAGATTGTTAAGATGGCAAGAGTCCCCAAAGCAAGCTACAGATTCAATGCAATTCCTATTAAAATTCCAAAAGCTTTTTTTGCAGAAACTGAAAAGCTGATCCTCAAATTCACACGTAATTGCAAGAGTCCCCAATAGCAAAAATGTGTTTGTATTGAAAAAGAAGAATAAAGTTTGAAGACTCATATTTTCTGATCTTGAAACTGAATATGAAGCTACAGTAATCAAAGTAGTGTGATGCCAACAAAGAACAGACATATAGATCAATGGAATAGAATGGAGTCCAGAAATAAACACATCCACCTCTGGCCAACTGATTTTTGACAAAAGTGCATTCAGTGAGGGAAAGAACAGTCTCTTCAACAAATGGTGCTGGGACAACTGGATATCCACATGCAAACAATGAAGCGGGTCCCCTACCTCATACCATACACAAAAATTAACTAAAAATGTAGCAATGACCTAAATTTAAAAGCTAAAACTATAAAACTCCTAGAAAAAAATATATGATGAGCACATCTTCATGATCTGAGGGGGTTGGTAATGAATTCTTAAATGTGACACCAGAACACGAACTACAAAAGAAAAAAAAACAGATATTGGAATTCATCAAAATTAAAAACTTATGTGCTTCAAAGGGCATTATTAAGAAAGTGTTAAGACAGAGAATGGGAGAAAAGATTTACAAATTATAAATCTGACAAGAGTCTATGACCTAAAATGTATAAAGAACTCTTGCAATTCAACAACAAAATAAACACCACAATTCAAAAATGGGCAAAAGCCTTGAATAGACATTCCTCAAAAAGGATATACAAATTGCCAATGAGCACATGCAAAGATGCTCAATCATCAATCAGTAGGAAAATACAAATCAAAACCACAATGAGATATCACTCCAGATTCATCAGAATGGCTAGGATATAAAAAAAAAAAAAGACAAACAATAACAAGTGTTGGTGAGGATGTGGAAAAACTGTAACGCCCCACATTGCTAGTGGGAATATAAAATGGTGCACCTGCAGTGAGAAAGTTTGGTGGTTCCTCAAAAGGCTGAACACAGAATTACCATGTGACACCAATTCTATTCCTAGGCATACATATACCCAAGAGAAATAAAAATGTATGTCCACACAAAATACTTGTACACAAGTGTTTATAGCAGCATTACTCATAACAGCCAAAAGGTGGAAATCACCCAGATGTCCATCAACAGATGAATAGATACACAAATTGTCACATATCTATATAGTGGACAATTTAGCCATAAAAAGGAATGAAGTATTAATACATGCTACAATGTAAATGAACCTCAAAAACATTATGGTCAGTTAAAGATGCCAAACACAACTGTATAAAATATCCAGCACTGGCAAATCCATACACACAGAAAGCAGACAGATGGTTGCCAGGGGCTGGGAGGAGGAGGGCATAGGGAGTGACTGGTTAATGGGTATAGGGTTCTCTTATAGTGTGATAAAAGCTGAAATGTTTTGGAATGTGATACAAGTGGTGGTTGCAAAATACTATAAATATACTAGATGTCACTGAAATGCACAGAATTTAAGATGGTTTTTAATGTTCTGTAAATTTCTCCTCAATTAAAGATTTCATCAAGTGCTGAATTTCATTTCAACAACAAGTATTTATATACTTAAAAAAGAAGAAAAAAGAAAAAACTCATGAGTTAAAAAATTAGAACTTCGGAAAGAAAACAAGACTCTCAAGCAAATAATTGCATTTCCAAAGTTCTAAGTATTCCACGTATTTATACACTGAAGGCAAGAGAAGGATTAAAAAATAAAAGCAGATTTCATTAGCATTCTGATGTGGTGGTTTAAAACAAGGACAGGCAGTGTTAAAAAAAAAATGAATGTTAAAAAGATAGGTATGCTTTATGTACTGTCCTCATTAAAAAGGCTTTTGGAAGATTTACCATCACCATAAGGAGATAATGAAATAAGACCAGTCTATTACGGGATATGAGAGAAAAATCTTAGATTCTAGAGAGCAGACTATTCACATTGTTAGCAAGCATAAAGAAAGAACTAAAGCCATGTCTCCACATCCTATGTAGTATCTAGTCATTTGCTTTTTTAAATGCAGCGAATTTAGCTCTATTTTTACAAAAAATGATTTTGCTCAAAGTGGCTGAGAGACATGGTTTGGGATAAGAACCTTTAGTTCAGAATCTGTACTGTCCAGTGGTGGGTCCTTCCTGCTCAGATTCTTAAGCAATGGAATTTCAGTGCCCAGGTGAGTGAGGAATTTGGGCTGGAAAGCTACAGAACTGACTCAAATCTCTCTGATTATCTCAGTGCCTTAATGACCTCTCATGGCATCTAGCAAACCACTGGTTCTAGAGATACTACAGGAAGGAAAGTGCAACTGTGAGGAAGGGAAAGGAACAAAGAGTTAATCCACTCTACCAGCCCACCCTCCTTCTCAAAGACTCTGTCCTCTATAGTTGCTTGCCACATTCCACCCAACAACAGCTGCTCATGATAATCAATGTCTGACAGATCAGAGAAAGCCCTTAATGTGTCGCCAAGGGGCAGTTCAACAGATGGCATGGTGACTTACAACCAGAATCATTAATTACACTCTCTTACTAGTCCCAGGGCACAGTGCTAAAAATGCTTCCTCAGTGAAAGATGAACATTTCAGATAAATGACCGTCTGGTATTGCCTGTGAAGCTCCCTTTAGGATTTCTGGTCAGTGTCGATTTCTAAATCTAAGCCATACTATTTTTATAGCTGTTTCCCATCTTCCACTTTCAAGCTGGCTAGGATTATGAAGTTCCCAATACCACTACCCATCATCACTCCCATAATCACTGCAGGTAAGGATGTGATAAGGCGCGCCCATCATTCATTTCCCCCTTCAAGTCAGATGACTGCGTTCAAAGCCAACACAATAATCTCAGCCACAGGACTAGCTCAATTTCCCTTCTGTCAGTGCCAGAGAACAGTGCTTCCTGAGTGCAGGGTGGGACAGGGGTACAATCCCCTCCATCATCCACTCTGGCGTTTCTTGTAATATTTGATTGGTACTCCAACTCAAAACTGTCCTCCCTTCCTAACCACTGGTTGCAACTCTTCTCCATGCCTCTTTAAAAAATAAAAAGGGGCAGACATTCCTGAAAAAGCAGCATAGGAGCTTGCGGCAAGCAAACGTTCCCCAATGTCCACACTGCTGGCTGTGTTATCCCAGCGGACTAAGCACTAGTGTTAAACCACCATGTACTTAATTAAGAAGTCAAACAAATGCAAGGTGAGAAACTAGTTCTGAAGCCTCTCCCCACGGGCTTCATGGTAGAATGTCAATCATGGTAGAAATCAGTTCCTCCTCAATTGTTTCAGAACTGGGCTCCATAAACATGAGAGTGAAATTTCAGAACTGACTGCAGACAGGATTTGGAGGCAGACTACTTACTGGCTTTAGAATGACACAAGTCAGAAACAAATCTCAATATAATTCAAAGAAAGAAAATTTTAAGCATTTCCCAAATACTACCAAATAAACAACTCTTTGATTTTGCTGATCTCCTGCTCTTTTTGTACCTCATTCTACAATTTTTTTTAAATGTTAGCTTCAAACTAAAGCAATATTAAGAACTTAATGCTGTGATTTAAGAGTTCATTGTTTAATGCATTACGATTTGTTCCTTCTTAGATATATAAAAAAGTGGCTTTGATTTTCAATTACATTCAAATAATTGCAGTATCTGATGGATAGTCTCATCTCATGAATTTTTAAAAGACAAAAATAGTGTTAATTAAAGCATAATAAAAACCTTCCAATGTGGGCTATAGGAAAGGAAATTTGGGAAGTCTAGGTCTGCCTTGCAAAGTACTCACTTCTAGTTTTTTCTCCTTTTCTGACAAAACATCTTTCTGGTTCTGGGTATACTCCACCAACATCCGAGCCAGCTGGCGCCGGTCTTCAAGTTCTGCTGCCAGGCGCCCGTTATATTCTGCTAGTAACAGACATGCTTCATCTACTGTTTTTGAAAGACGTTCAGCTGCCTCTTTGTCTGGGTACAAATGAAATCAAAAAATAGAGATAATACACAAATCACATAGGCATGATCGCAAACATTTCTGTAGGAGGTTAACAGTTTCTCTCACAAAGTACAGAGTCCAAGAATAAGCCAGAACCTGTAAACAAAACATAGACTGGCTGACCGAGAAATCCAAAGGTATTCATACCTGTCAAAAAGACAGGATATTTCTGAATTATCTGACATGATACAAGGAGGGGAATCTGGCAAAAATTTCTAAATGCCTATTCCTTTAAAAGCTCTACAAGTAAAATAGAAAAATATTTAAGGTCATACATGAAATAATTTTTCCTTGCCTCTGAGAATTTCAAAAGTGCTTTCATTTGTATTATTTTGTTTTCTCTTGAACATTCCTCTGAAATACAAAATACAAGCACTACATAAAATACAAAAGCAAGCACTTATTTCTTGGGTGTGAAAACTAAAACAAACAAAAAAACCTCTGCACAATAGTTCCATAGCAGGTGGTTAGCTAAAGAGTTGGGACTCAAAACCAAGACTCTAAAATGGACCTACAGGACTCCACATCTTAAACTATGGAAGCCTTAAACCTGGGTGTGATCTCTTCTGTCATTCAATAAAATATCGGGTCTGATGAAACAGAGGCTTTCAAATGCTTTTGAACATGACCCATGGTAAGAAATATATGTAAACATATGAAAATAAAAGAAATAAAAATTTCATAAAGCAATACTTATTCTTATTATGTGCAGTGTTCTATCTAGTCCATTAAAAAAAATTGGGATTATTACCTAACAGACTGATTTGTCCAATTAATGGGTTACAACTCATTGTTTGGAAAAGAAAAACTGTGCTGAAGTATTGAAGTATAAGAAAGGCTGGTCTTAGAAAGAAGTGATGAAAAAGGCTCAACATTAGGAAATTAGAAGAGACAAAAGGATAATTTATATATAAAAGAACAGATATAATTATACATGGGCAATGGTGAGATTAGAACTTTAAATATATTATACCTCAGTTTTTATAGGCCTTTAAGAATCAAAAGAGTAAATGGCTGTTTTGAAACAAAGAGCACCAGAGATTCCAGTAGTTCTAAAGGACAAACTAAAACAGAATTACAGGCGATACAGATAAGTTGTCACTATTACAGGTTGTCAGAGGTGAGAGACCTCAGCATTCTCATAAAATTGGGAACTCTGAATTCCCAATTCTGGGTTTTAGATGCCTTAATATGAATACTGGGAGAAGGAACAGTTGAGGGATTCCCAATTATGTCTGATGCTAAAGATCAGAGATTTCTACCCTCTTCAAGGATAGAGAAACAAAAAGATGTTCTTCGTGAAGAAAGAATGAGCCAAACAGAACATAAAGAAAAGAGACAATCTCAGTCATTGAGGGTAAAGAGGACACTTATTCTTCCAGATTGGTGGTCTGGTCTGGGAATAACGTGGTGAGGTAGTTAGGCTGGTTTTAGCTTTGTCATTGTTTGGCTATATGATTTGTTTAAATGCATAATTCATTAAGATGTTTAAGTACCCGTGGCAAGAAAATGACAAGAAAAACACAAATATTTAAGATTTTTTAAAAATCACTTTCAACCTCTAAGAACCTGTACAAAGGAGAGAATCCATTCACACAAATTACAAACCAGAAAAATAACTTGTAAAAAGTTTTATGAGCTACAGAAAAAATGCAATAAAAATGTAGCAGCAAGATGCTCGCTTCAGAGAACTTACCTGTGGTGGTCCCTCAGGGGCTCTGCCCCACTGCTACACAGATGAGCCGCTGTGTGCCTCCTTCAGCTAGCCCTCCACTTGTGCATGGGCATCCCATTCCCTCTTGCTTACTCCAAGATTCAGTCTCTGCAACTGTTCCCTGTGCTTTCCCACATGTCACCAATTTTTCTCTTCCTCTCCTAAAGCACTACCATCAGCATACAAACACACTGCTCTTATCTTCGGGCCACATGTCACTCTATTATTGCCCCTTTTCCCTGCTCCTTTTACAGCAAAACTCAAGGGTTGTCTATGCTCCTGGTACCCACCTTCTCTCTTCCCACTGTCACTAAATCCACTTCCATCAGACTTTTGTACTTGTCGATCCTCTGCTAGAAACCTTCCAATTAGCTTCTTAAATATTTGGGCTCCTGTTGTGAGTCTACCACTGTTCTAGGCTCTGAAAGACAGCAAGGAACACAAAGGACAAAATCTCTGTCCCCAAGTTTACATTCTCAGGTAGAAAGAGAAATGATATACTATATTTTACTTATTTATCAGGTGAAGATAAAGAACTCTAGAGAAAACTAGACAGAAGAGGAAAAAACAAGGCATTTGGAGGGAGAACTGCAATTTTAAATGAGGTGGTCAGGTGGGCTTTATGAGATGATAATGTAAACCAAGGCCTGAAGAAGTCAGAGGACAATCTGGGGAAGGATGTGTGACTATCTAGGAAAGATCATTCCAAGCAGAGGGAACAGTAAGAACAAAAGCCCCAGGAGGGGAAAGTGACTGGCAGGAAGCCCATGAAACTGGAGCATTGAGCAAGGGCAAAGTGAAAGTCTATGTGGTAACAGGGGTGAAACTGTGATGGGCATTGAAAGACTAGTTTTTACTCTAGGTGACTGGGGAAGTCAGTGAGGTGTTCTGAGCAAAGGGAGACATGATCTGACTTCCATTTTAACAGATCACTCTGGTTAGTGTGTTGAGAAGAGAATGATGGCTGGGGGTGGCAGATAAGAAGGAAGCAGGGAGACCAGGTAGGAGGCAACTGCTAATCCAAGTGAAGATGGTGGTAACTTTGTCAGGTGGCAGCAGTGGAGGTGGTGACAAGGTATCAGATACTGGTTTGGTTCTAATCAACAGGAATAATAAGGGGGGTACTTACTAAGATAAGAAAGATCACGAGAAACGGGTTTTAGAGGGAAGATGAGAGGTTTGATTTGGGACAGGTTTAGTTTGAAATGTCTATCGAGATATCCAAACAGTAACACTGAGTAGGTTGGATGAATCAGTCTCAAGGTCAAGAGAGAGATTAACAGCAGAGATGTAAATTATGGATCACCAGCATTAAAAAAAAACACCCAAAACCTGTTATCAAACTGGATGAGCCGAACTATCAGTGACCCTAACTAATGAAGAGTGCTAAGCAACATTAGGGTCAAGAAGTGAAGAAACCAGCAAAAGACAATGAAAAGACATAAGAGAGAGAGAGAAGAGGAAAACTAAGAGAATAAGGAGTCCAAGTTTTCTATTGCTGCTGTAACAAATTACTACAAATTTAGTGGCTTAAAACAACACAAATGTATTATCTTAACATTTACTATTGTGGCACTTCTTCCATCTTCAAAGTGCGTTACTCCAGACTTCTGCTTTCACAGTCATACCTTCTTCTTTGACTCTTTTCCTCCTACTTCCCTCTTACAAGGACTCTGTGATTATAGTGGGCCTACCTGAATAACCCACAATCTCCCCATCTCAAGATGCTTACTGTAATTATACCTGCAAAGTCTCTCTTGCCATATAAGATAATATATTCACAGGTTCTGGGGATCAGGACATGGACATTTTGGGAAGATCATTATTTTGTCTACCACAACAAGTGAGAAAGTATTTTCAGGAAGAAGAAATGATCAACTGGGCCAAATGTTACTGAAGTCAATTTAGGATGACCTAAGTTAAGATTGGGCAAAATATTCACCCCTGAATTTAGCACCATGGAAGTCATCGGCAACACTGACGGGAGCAATTTCAGTAAAGTATAACCAAAAGAAAATGAGAGGAGGGGAAATAGAGACAGATGAGTATATGCAGTATATTTGGGATGTTTTGCTATAAAGAGAAATGAGGCGGTAGCTTGAGGAAGATATGGGTCAAAAATATTTTTCCCACATGGGAAAAAAATATATATGTTTTTATGCTGTGGATAATGATCTAGTAGAGGGGAAAAAAACTGTAGATGCAGGAGAAAAGGGGAGATCTGTTGGAGAAATGTCCTTGAGTAGAAGACAAGGAACAGGTCTAACAAACAGGTAGAGGGGCTGGTTTAGAAAAAGTGTATTCATCCACAGAAAGAAGTGAGCCCATGTGTGTTGTTTTCCCCAGCCACATTCAGCTGTGCAGATCCAGGATACAAACAGATGAAAAGCTACATTTAAGAATGGTGGTTGCTAAGAGCTGGGGGGAGGAGAAAATGAGTTGTTATTTAATGGGTATAGAGTTTCAGTTTTGCAAGATGAAAAGAGTTCCGGTAACTGATTGCACAACAGTGTGAACGTATTTAATAGTTTTGAACTGTACACTTAAGATTATAAAGACCCTAGGCTGAATAAAGAAGAAAATGAGGACACAAGAGTGAAGGCTTGAAAAAGTGCAATGATCAATAGGCTGTGGGATCGATGGGACTGTTAAATCCATTGCTAGAGCTGGGGAAGTAGAGGCAGTGAGCTGAAATGTTCCTTGTATGATTTGGAAGGCCTCCATGGTGTGTTCTCCAACTAACCATATTCCTGCCTGAAGGTCTTTATAAGTACTGTTCTCTCTGCCTGGCGGCACTTCCTTTCCCCCAGATAAGCTCACAGCTTGCTTCCTAATTTGGGGGAGGGGCCTCTGATCAAAGATTATCTCATCAGAAAGGCCTTCCCTGACCACCTTTAAAATAGTACGTCCTTCGATTATCTCTACCACCATACCCCTGCTTTTTCTTTTTTGGCACTTAATCCATGAGGGGATGTAGGTGGAACACCAAGAGCATTTGCCACACAGTGTACCTCAAATATTTGTTGAATGAAGGAAATATTTCATGAGCGACCTTGATTTCCTTTAAATGGATATGGAAGAAGTGGTGAGGCATCCAAGTCAGGGGACTGGAAAGGAAAAACAGTGGCCTTCGGAAGAGAGTGGAACAAAAGGTCCGAGCTTTTGCAATGGAAAGAACATAGGCTTACAAGACTAGGCTCCAATCCCAAGATTCGCTACTCATGTGACCCTGGGCAAGACCCCTGAGATCTCAAAGCCTCAACTTCCTCCTGTGCAATACGGGAATATACATTCAGAGAACTGCGAAGAGTGAAGAGTGGATCTGTCACAGAAACTATGTCATAAATATTAGTTCACGATTCATTCCTTCCTTTCAATTTTCTATGCTTAAAGTGAGAATAATGTCAACTGCCCCTCCCTGTTTAACTAGGTGAGGATCAAGAGGGCAAAATAACACAACTACCAATACACACCTAGGGTTCTCGG